AATTTGTTGTCCTTCTGAGCCATACTCTAAAGTTGAGTACGGTTAGGAGTAAGGTCGGTGTTGTATTTGTACTGCTTGACAAATGTATCAGCTAGATCAACCCAAGTGTGCACACTGCTACGCTCTAGCTGCATATACCACTCGAGAGATGCTCCAAACAAGCTGTCTTGGAAGTAATGAATCATTAGTTTTTCATCTCTGACATATGCAACCATCTTGCGGTAGTACACCTTCAGATGAATATTAGGGCAACTAAGGCCTTTGTATTTTTAGAATTATGGTGCTTTGAACTTTGGAGGAATGATGACATCAGGCACCAAGCACAATTCTAGAGCACTGAGAGAATTTGAATTATGTCCCTCCATGACTCACAGTTTTTCAGCTAGACCGCAACACATTTTGATAGCTTCCGATTCTTGAGCAGCAACAAGACTGGCAATGGGGATAGCAGCGTGATAGTTTTGAACATCATCGTATTGGTCTAGCAAATTCTCTTCAACATGAGGAACGAGGATCTGAACGACAATAAGTTAGGCTTGTAGGATAGCTTTAACAGTAATTCCAGGTGCTGGGATGGGTTGAGAAGTAGTTCCTTCAACTTGAGGTAGACCCTTGCACCTGACCATTGTTGTTGACGACAACAACTTCTCACAGCTCTTCTTCCTTTCTAGCTGTGGTGATGGCTTCAAGAATCTGATCAATCTTTCCTTTAAGGGAATCCAGCTCTTCTCTGAAGACGACTTGCTCTTGTTGAATCTACTCCAACATGCATCTAGTGTTGGCTCTAGTTGCGTACTGGTGTCGATGAATCAACTTGATTTACTAGATAAGAAGGAAGGAGACATGCGATTCTGCTAAAGAAATGAAAATGTAAGATGCACGACTGATGCAATGCAATGAAATAATATGTAGGATGCAATGCAAGATGCAAGATCCAGGATCATAGGGTCACAAATTCAAACAATTTTGAAGTTGGTAACTGCAACAGGTATGTAACCACGGTTTGTGGTTAAAGAAACCTTACAGGTAAACCCTATACGAGAAGATCTAAATTCCTTACCCATAAACCCACTCATGGGATGGTTTCTACGTTGATGGATATGGTTCCCAGTATCACGGACACTAATCACATCAACGTCACGCAACAGGCTAGATGCATTACGACGATAATGACGATAAGGTCTCTCCTGAGCGGAGTCCTCACGCTAGGCACACAAGGAGTGAGTCCTCGAAGACTAACATTGCACGACCACCAATATAGAATTGGTGCTAAAAGGGTTCCTAGAATCACAGACCTTTCATGAATTGAGTCGTGCAATAGGCTAGCTGTGTTACAACAAGATCTACGAATAGGTCTCCTCTAGGGGAGCTTTCGTGCTAGGTCTACAAGGAGCAAGTCCTTGGGGACTAACACTACTCGACTACCAATTCTAAACTAGATGTTCTCTCTGCTTCTACCAAACCTCGGGCATAGAGCCTTACTCATGATGTCATACAAGACCAATTAAGCAAAATAATAGGTAAATAAGAGACAACACTGAGAGAAAAAATATGTAAACACGAAGAAAATAATCGAACAAAGATAAAGCTCTTCACAAAATCCTAAGATAGGCTCGACTCTCTCTTGTATGGAGGAATAAGTCCCCAGCAGAGTCGCCAGCTGTCGCATCTTGAAAATTCATCGAGAACACGACCCTCGCACAAAAGGCGTGAAGTACGGTTTGACAGAGTCGCCACTGAACTTTATTTATCCCGAATAGGCGGGAAAGGAAATTATTGAGAAAACCTTTTAAAAGAAAGGACAGGAACACAGTCGTCGTAACCAATGTTCCAGGTTCGGGAGTCGCTTACGCAAGGGAAAGGTATTAACACCCCTCACGTCCGTTGTACTCAACGAGAACCTCTTAGTATAATTTGCGATGGGCACTATCTAAGCTTGCTTGTTTTCTTCTCAATGATAAATGCGAATCGGTAGGTTAAAAGGATAAAGACGCCAAGGGGAAATGAGTGGTTATAGGATAGGGTACTCGTCAAGGATTGAGGCCCTTCTGCCTACGTATGCTTATTCGGACGAGAATGAGAAATCAGAGCTTCGTAGTTCGACTACGGGAGAGGATAGGGGGAAACGAAAGATGGAGGGAAGGTAGACGGAATGACAGAGAAAAATGGAAGTGTGCTCACCAAGATCATCGCAATCTTATGCCTACGTTACATTCAGACGAGAATGAAGAATCAGAGTGTCCGTAGTTCGTTGAGACGACCACGAAAAGATATGGGGTTGAATTGAGCTTGAAGTTTGTTGGGAACAAAATATTGACTGATAAATAACCCAAGTGGCATGCCTCGAGAGCTGTCACTCAAGAATCCAAGGAATGCGAGATTCCAAGAACTCAGTTCTTTCAGTAGTTGATTGAAAAGGGTTGAAGAGAGGGTTTGAACGTTTTGAAGTCGAAATAGTGAATGAATAACAAATCAAGGGGCGTGCCTCGAGAGCTATTCATTCGAAGTTTCAAGGAATGCTAGACTCTAAGAATCTCCTTCTTTCGTAAGTTTGATTACGAAAATATTTGAATAGAAATTAGGTGTTTTAAGGAGAAAGGGTGAATGAATGACAACCCGAAGCGTGCGCCCAAGAGCCATTCATTAGAAGATCCAAGGAATACTAGACTCTAAGAATCTCCTTATTTCGTTATTTGTTAAGAAAATCATTTATAAAAAGGTTGAATCGAATACGTTACGAAAATAGGTGGACTGCGAGGCAAAAGGCACTCAACTTACAACTTGGATAAAACACCGCTTGATGTTGGATCAAAGGTTTGATTCTATTTGCGTGAAAAGACGTGGTGGAATGGAGGTTGATTTGAAGATGGCTCGACGACGAGTCGAGGATTTGGTTGAAAATAGAATCAACTTGACAACGAATCAAGGGTTAAGTTGTGAGAAACGATACTAGTCCCTGAGGGTTCCCCCAATATCAAAACCACGATGAAATTTGAAAGTGTGTGCAATAGGTTGATGGCGAATGCGGATGAGCACTCAATTTACGAGGGTGTTTGAAAATGGCTCGATGAAGAATCGAGAATTAGTTTGAAAGTATTTTAGTTTACGCTAGTCCCTATGGATGCTCCTAGAAGATAAACCACAACTAAAGAAATACGAATACATACATCAAAATGGGAGAGGGATACATGTAAGTTACACGGGATTTCACGAAATAAAGGGTCTCGTTGTAAGGTAGCCCAAGAGAAAGTCGTGTGTGTGTGAAGTGTCCTAAACTAAGTCTTGAGCAAAAGTTGGACAAAACTCCAAGCTAGGGTTTCTGACAAAGTCCAATAATCTGTTGCTCGGACAAGTAACCAACAATCCACCAATTTAGGATTTTATTGTTTCGATAATTGTTAAGTGTTTTCGAAAGAAATGTGAATAAGAGATGAACAAGATGAATATGATATGAATATGAACGATGTGAATAATATGACAATATGAATAATATGGAAAGATATATATAAATATAATCAAGATAGTATTCACAATAGTATAATCAAGATAATATTCACAATAGTATAATCAAGATAATATTAATAAGTATATGAACAAGATAATATAAATCAACATAATATCGACAGAAAATAAAACAGGAGTATATTGACTGAAAAGTAAAACAAGAATATGTTGACGGAAAGTAAAGTTAGTCATTAGTTTGTTTGAATTGAATCGGGATGAAATGTAGCGCTAAACCTTCGTAGCTCGATCTATGATGAAGATCAAGCTACAGGAGGTCGCACAAGTTGATATCCATGCTAAAAATATGATGGAGAAATGATATTGAGGATCATTTTCCAATGTAATCGTGTCACACAGACCGAAAAGGGGTTGATCTCGTCTTAATCACTAACTCTTGTTAATTAATCGAAGGTAACCTATCACGATCCCAAAGTATAGAAAATGATCCCTATGATCATTTTCTACAGATTTGACATAATGAATGTTATCAACCTCGAGAAATCAACGTTCATGAATAAAAAAGACTTTCACTGATCGAAATTGAAATAAAATTGAAATGAAAAGATGAAGAAGAAAATGAAAATAGAAAAAAATGTGTGGTCTCATCTAAATCACTATTTTATTGATAAATCGATAATAATGATTTTTAGCTTCTTCATTGACCAAAGATGAAAAAAAAAAAACAATAATGAGAATTAAAAAGAAAATGAGGAATAAAAATCTAAACTAATGTGTAACTCAATTCAAAAGAAGAAAAAAAATTAAAATATTAATAACTATGAAAACCAAAATAGAACAAAAATAAAATAATAAGAAAAAACTAAAAGAGGGAGGGAGGTTTGAGTAAAAGAAGGTGGGGGATGTGTTAGGAGTGGAGTCATATGGGCCAAAGCCCATCATCCACTCCTCAAAACTAAACACGGTAGAGGCAAAAAAAAAGGGTGATGAAGAGTTAGGCGTGGTGTGTATATGAATCCTCATGGGCTTCTCTAAGCCCAACCACAACAACATGGTTTACCAAAAAACAATAACATCAAAAGAGCAAATTATGGCAGCAGAATCAAAACATCATCCGGTTATAAAAAAACCTAGCCTATAGCAAAATTAGGTTTCACACATTTTTTTAAACGAAACAAAAGGTTTAAGAAGGAGAACAAGGTCAAAGCACATGCCATGGTTTCTCTTTAAAAGGAAAGCGCTCTGAAGAACAAAAATAAATCCTTCTTCATCATTACGGAGAATCAAATTAACAACAAAAAACAGTGAAATCAACAAAGAATGCACAGACTGTTCCCACCCTTTCTCGTCTCCGTCGAGGTGACTTCGTCAAGTTTGTATCGTTCGTTGTTAGATTGTTTTGTTTCACTCTCTTCTTTTCTTCTACTCCTTCTGATTTATGGGATTTGGGTTGTTTGGTTGTGTTGGAAATTAGAAGGGTTAGATTGAAGAATCAAGATTGTGTTGAAGCTGTGAAGAAGAAAGGAAGAATTGAGGAAATGAAGGTTCCACCAAGTTATTGTTACGAAGAAAAAGAAAAGGCAGAGTGAGATTGTTGTTGTGAATGATAGCTCTCGTTTCAATTCATTTTATGCATTTTGTTTTGATGCGTAGTGTGTATGGTTATGTGTTGCATTTTGGAAGGTGAGTATTTTCGCATTGCTTTGTAGTTGTTTTTTTTTCTTTTGATCCCAAGAAGTGGTTGTGTGATACGCATCATTTTTGAGTTGTGTAGAAGTTGGTTTATCATTTTATGGAATGCTGCGAATTGGTTTGTTAATTGGGGTGGTGATATATGGTTGTGATGCGTCACGATATGTCATGTGGAATGGTTGAGGTGGGGCCAAGTTGTTGTTGTTGTGAAATGGGGTCATGTGATGCAGGATGTTGAAGCTGACCTGTAAAAATTTGTTTTTGCGCGCTTCATTTTGTAGGTGCTTGGAGGCTTGTGTTGGTCTGGATACTTGTTACGGAGTTTTAGCAGTATGGATAGGAGCGCCGGATATCATGGCTGCAACTTGTGGTGAATTGGTCATGGCTTATGGTATGATGGTTAGTAGGACTTATATTTGGTGTTGTGGATCATTTGTGGCTCATTGTGTGCATGAAAAGGAATGGCTTGTTAGGTCGTGCCCCTTGGAGAATTCTTGGTTGAAGTTTTGGGCTCATGGCAGCTTGCCTTATTTTCACTTTTTGCAAGTGTTTTTAATTGTAATTTGGACTTAGTATTGGGATTTTTATTGAATTTTGTAGAATTCTTGTAATGGGCTTGAAATTCTTTTTGTACATTCCATGAGCTTGTCCTTTTTGTAGGAACTTTGTAAGGGACTTGGGCTTTTAGTAAACTTTATGATCCAATGCACCTCCCCTTTTTTTTATGTAGATCTTGCAAACAATTTGTAATTTGTAATGACTTCATGGTTTTTGAACTCAATTAAATTTTGGCCATTTTTGATTTTATCAATCCATAAATCCTTGCATCTTGTACTTTGAATTCAATGTAGAACCATTTTGAAATTGCAATTTGAACCTTGTATTCACTTTGCACCCTCCACTTGAAACGTCTCGAACTCTACTATTAAAAACAAAGATGAATAGGACTCGAGTTTTCACGTTAATTCCATATTTCACATTTGAGACTATTCTTGATTTTTTCTTGTGAAATGAATACCATCCTCAATCGGTCCTTGAGAAACAAAAGTTATCATGAATCGATCTTGTACTTATGAAAGAAACAACCATTGAATTAATCCTTGAATAATGAACCAAATTCTAAATGCCTTGAAATCAGAAGATAATGACGTGATATGGAATGCATTACAACTGTACCAAAACCCTAATGTTGGGAACGCTTTTGTATTGAATAATATTTAATCATGAAACACTTGCACTTATCATAACCTGATAGCCTGACTCACCCACAGACGATGTCACTTAAACAAAACTTGCCTGACCTAGATTAGGTCACAACCAGAGGGGCTTCAACACCACTGCACACACTCCTGACCTGACATCCTTTTAACCACTTGAGTTTAAATAATAGGAAAATGGAACAAGGCAACATATATTTTATTTTATTTTTTGAATAACAGTTAGTGGACGAAATGTACAGCTGAAGGTTATACATATGTAGAACAAATTTGGGGTATTACAGTTACGTCAAACTTGATGTACAACGTTTTCAACATTTTGTTTCCTATTTACCAAAACTACCCTTGGTTCTTCTTCTCTAGGAATTTGTAGTTGATTCTCAGGGGGTTCGACTCTAGGTCGTTCGATCATTCCCTGGCTGTCTTGATTTTCCTGAGGTATATTTTCTAGATTTTTTTGAATTTGGTTAATGGTGGTATCTTCGTCGAAAACTACCCCTTGGTTCTCTATCATATACTTCTTTTGTGGTTTTCGAGGGGGATTTGGTACACCAAATAATTTTACAAGGCGCGTCATTTGCATTCCTAATTGTTGATTATTTTGGACAGTATTCTAAATAAGAGGCTGAAAGATTCCCCCCATAGTTTGGACATCATTTGGACCATTTGAAGGTTACTCTTGTCCATCTGTTGTCTTAAGCATGATGCAGAATTGGTTTTCAAATTTGGAATTTGGGCGGAATACCTTAATCTTAAAGTTTGACTATTTTGACCCATATTTACCCCAAAGCCTGATCCATATAATGGCGAAGTCATTACGGGTTCTGTATATAATGAAGGGGCATTTTGTAAGTTTGCCTTCATCGAAGTTGGCATTCCATAGGGTGGGTCTCGAGGCAGGGGTATTGCAAATCCAAGAGGAGGGACACTTATGAATGCTGAAGCCCTTATTGGCGGTGGAGTCAGTGGAGGATCCCTTGACCCAATATAAGTCAGAATGGGTTGTGTATGGGCAATCAAATGTGTAGGTATTGAACTTCCCATAGATGGTATTGCTTCATAGACAGGCACTGAGACCGTTGGTCCTCCTGTCGAAGATTCTATGGGTGGTTCTACATTGTTACTAGGCGTATCCTAAGGAATATTTGGCTGGTTAGAGTTCGTCGCCATTCTCCTCATATATCTTCTTCTTGTTCTATCTTCGTTAAAGGTGGCTACTTTACCACTTCTTAATAAGATGCAACAAAGTTTACAAAGAGAAGGTTGACCGTAGAACTAATGAATTTTCAAGAATTTCGAAGAAAATTTTACGATCACTTAGCACTGTCCCACTAGGCATGCCAATTTGTTAGCCGTGAAAATTGGTGAACAACCGCTGGTCTTCCAAATCGAAAAGGATTTGTTTTACTCGCAGGATCAACCTCACAAATGTTAGGACATGTGATAGTTGATATTAAACAAAGTTTGGAAAAATAATGAACACTTCGACAGAGTTCATGATAAAAATAACTTGTTTCAAAAATGTAAATGGAATTGAACACAAGAGATTAAAGTCGAAAGACTGGTAAAAACTGTAGAAAGTAACTTGCGCAAGGAAAAGATAAATTCTTAATGAAACGACTTATTTAATTGCATTGAAATGTAAAAATGGTGTTGCATCAACGTACATTCTCACGAACTCGTTTCTCTACACGCGGGTACTTTGAGTATATTGAGTAATTTGTACACAATTGAACACACCCACATCCTAACACTAAGACTTGCTATTTATAATAATAAAAAATAACTGCCATCAACAACTAACAAACTAAATTGATACAAGTGTTGTTATGCATGTCTTTAACTCTTGGAAGCGCTCCACGTGTCTTCTTTGAGAAATGGATAAGAATGAATATTCCCTCCTTTATTTGAATTCAAATCTTCCTGTCGAAACGCCTTTAGTAGAACCTCTGTCGAATCACATTTCCTAATTGTTAGGAAATACTTCTAAGTCCATAAAATAGTTTTTCCTTGCAAAGGGACGCCTTCGACTCACACTCTAAAAATGTAGTTCTGATCGAAGTTATCCAATTTCTTCAGAAACTCTATTACTTCCTTTTAATCCCATTCAGACATCGAAATTTAGAGCCAACAGACACATGCTAACTTTACTAATTCATTTGTGCCACATCATCCCATTGTCTTATGTGGAACCTCCCTAAAATCATTTTCAAACTGTCAAATGCAACAGTTATTCTCTATTAGAGATCACGAGTTCAACTCCTTGCAAAGACAAAAAAATGCATATTGATTCTCTATTGGAAGTCAAAATTCAACTCCTCACTAAGACAAACATATTTTTAAATCTAAACACTAAAAATTGAAATTTTATATTCTTTAAAGTAAAATAAAAATAAAATATATTAAAATTAAGCTACAAACTATTTTTTGACAACTCATTATCTTACATGTCACAATATTAAAAATCTGATGTAACACTCTTCAAGACAAACATTTCAAAACTTCTATTATTTGTTTTAAACAAATGTGTAAAATTTCATTTATAAATCTCTTTAAATAAAAAAATATTCTTAGCATAATGTACCAGCTCACCTTCTTCATCGACCATATCATCTGATTTAATCACACATTCTTGCAACCTTGCAGGCATGTGTCTTGTTCGTCGAAGTCTGCTTGGGCCTGCTTCACCTCTGACTTCTTCTTGTCGAACTTCTCTTTAGACTTCACTAGCTGGTTCATCACATAAGATTCTCACTAAATCCTTCTTGACATTATCAGTCCAATCTCATTCCTTAAGCTCATCTATGATCACGTGCCTGTTGACATTATCAGTCCAATCCTATTCCTTAAGCTCATCTATGATCACGTCCCTGTTGATCACTACTTGCTTGTTCATTGGGCCGAACAACTTGTATCCTCCAGTCGAATGATATCCTATTAGGATCATTTGACTCGACTTGTCATCAAGCTTCCTTCTCAACTGATCTGGCACATGTCTATGTGCTATAGATTCAAACACATTCAAATGACTTAGGCTAGGCTTGACACCAGACTAACATTCTTCTGGCTTGATTCCTTCTAGCTTCTTCTTCTGACATCTATTCAAAATGTATGTTGCAGTCGACACAACTTCTCCCCATAACTCTTTTGGTAGATATTTGCGCTTTAACATGCTTCTCACCATGTTCATGACGGTTCTATTCTTCCTTTCTGCAATTCCATTTTGATGTGGAGTGTAGGGTGGAACCACATCATGCATAATCCCATCTTTCTCACATAATGCATCAAAATATTTCGACACATACTCTCCACCACCATCAGTCCTCAGAATCTTTAGCTTTCGACCATAAATTTAAATTTGGAAAATACCTCTATCACTTCACTTTTCTTATTGATCAGGTAAGTCTACAACTTTCGACTAAAATCATCTATGAACATGACAAAGTATCTATTACTCCCAATCAAATCCACCTGGATAGGACCACATACATCAAAGTATATGACTTCAAGAATTGCCTTCAACTTGTTTCCTGCATCTTTGCTGAAGCTATTTTTGTGTTTTTTTGTGTGAACACATTCTTCACACACTTCTCTTGGAATGTCAATTTCTGGTAATCTTGAAATCGTATTTCTTCTCTTTAAGTCTCTGATGTCTTTAAAATTGAGATGACCAAGTCGGTAATGTCATATTCATTCATCTTTGCTGGCTGCAGTTGCAAGGCACTTATGCTCCATCATATTAAGTTCAATTTTAAAGATTCTCTTATGTGACATTGGAGCCTTCAAGATTAACCTACCATCTGAGTTAACAACTCTCATCATTTTGTCTTTGATCGACACCTTGTAGTTCTTTTCGACCAACTGCCTTATATTGAGCAAATTACTCTTCATGCCTGGTATGTACAATACATTGGAAATTACTGACCTCTTGCAATTTTTCCTCATAATCAGAACATCACCAATATATTCAGCTGCTAGAGTATCGTTATTTGCAAATTTCACCATATTCTTTATTGAGGGCTTCATGTTGATAAACCAATCTTTCCTACCAGTCATGTGTGATGAGCATCCTGAGTCCAAGTATCATTGGTCCTAGAATCTTTCTTCATCTCTTGTTGTAACCATTAACAACATCTTTTCTTCTTCATGATTCGCCAGCTTTGCATCAGTTTCTTGATTCTTCTTCTTTTCTCGACACTCACTAAAATAGTGACCATACTTCTGACAATTGAAACACTGAATGTGACTTTTGTCAGGCTTTCGATAACCACCTCTTCCTCTACCTGCAATACCACCTCTTTGGTTGCCTTAGTTCCAGGGTTTTGTTTGATTCGACCAGTTTCCTTCCTGCTGATT